CGTGCTGGAGTCCCACGTGACCGACTGCAGTTTGTGTCCCGGACCTGGTGGCTTGAAAATTATGCTGAAGCACGTGTGTGTGTGTGTTGCGTGTGTGTGTGTGTGTGTGTGTGTGTGTGTGTGTGCATCCAAAATCCCAGAAGGATAATAAAAGAGAAGGGATTGCGCTGCATTATGGCCATCCCCCAGGGGATGATTTCTCACTTTGGCTTGCTGTCTGTCTTTCTGGTAAGTGCAGGCACCTTATGGCAAAAACCTTAGAAACAAAAATAAATCTCTGGGCAAGTGTGCGTGGGCTCCCTGAACTCCGAAGAGCGGAGAAAGGTGGAGAAGGGGCAGGATTATGGCATGATCACACCCCATTGGGGATGCTTCCCCCTTTCCTCCTCCCTCTCTCTCTGTGTGTATCTCTGTCTCTCTCTGTGCCTTCTGACAAAAAAAAAAAAGTGAGAAAGAAAGAAAGAGAGTGGGAGTGGGAGGGAGAGAGAGCGAGAGAAAGATACTGGAAGTTAAAAAGGAACATCGTATAATCAAATATCATATGTGTTTCAAAGTTAGTGTGTACTTACCATAGTAATCATTGCAATCATAGGAACTGAAGCCCGGGAGACATGCACACCCCCATTCCATACACTGCCCATTGCCACTGCACAAATTGGGGCATTTTAATATGGAGAGAATGTCTTCAATTGACTTGGTATATACTTTTGCGTTATATCTCCCCTCTTCCAAAATCCGCTTTTCACATTCATTCTCTAAAAGGGCCACACCTGCTTCTGCCCAGCTAAGATCATCTTTTAACAGAACATCCTGAACACACATGTCTATAACACTGTCTAGTCTTGTGCCAAGAAAGGATAGACAGAGCCTTCCTATGCTGGAGTTGGCTAGATTCTGTTGACAGAGGGCTAAGGTGCTGGATTTGGTAAGGCCAGAGGGTGTGGGCCATGAGGGGACAAACTCCTGGTGGATATCCTCTGCGTAGTCCTCAGGGAAAAAATAAGTAAACCTTTCCAGGTCGGTATGGCTGAGACTTTGAAAAGCAAACAAGGAAAAAACTCATGAAAGTTTTGCTGTTTCCATCTGTTCTGTCCATTCCATCTCATTTCTTTGTTGTGGCTACCTGGATCCTGTGTATGTCTTTCATTGTCTAAAGTTTTTGATGTGTCTTGTTTTTCTTTCCGAGGATGTCTTTGTAAATTTAAATCCAGTTTGGTTAGGTTCACAAGCATTTTTTCTTGCAGAAAGAAATTCAAATTATTTTCTTCTCTAGATGTATGCTTGTTTATCTGTCTGACAAGAGCCTCTGAATTAATATATTCAGAGGTGACATCCAGTTCTGGTATCAAAGAAGAGAATCTGACATGTTTGAGGTCTTTGCAACCTGCAGCAATTTCTGATTGAGAAGCACTGTCCAGATGATTAGATAGATATAGTGAATCAGGGCCTAATGAGCAGCTACAGAAAGATAGTTTTTCTGGTGATGGCAGAGAAGTAGGCATCGTGTCAAACATGCTTTTTCCTGGTAAAATCCTTCCAAACGTAAAACAGAAAAGGATAGTAATTTAGACAAGAACATTTTTTGTTGTTACATGTTGTAAAAGAAAGAGTATTGAGTTACCTCCCCCCTTCTTAAATCAAGTGAAAAATAGTTTACTTTCTTACCTCCATTCATTAATAAAAGCAACACAATCATTAAAACTTTGATCAATTTTTATTCCATTTTTATCATGGAAATCATTTTCTGGGTTTTCATCAAAGGTGCCACAAAGTCCCAAGGTGTTTCTATAATCTAAACTAGGGGCTCTGATTGTTAAACTCATGCCCCATTCACTAAGATCAGCACGGATAAATGCTCCAGAAGAAAACCAAATCTGAAATATAGAAATAAAAGATACTGCAGCAATATTCAATATAGATTAGGAAAAAGCTGTTACTTAAGAAATAAATTAATTCAGACATTTCTTCAATATAAAAAGAGAATAAAATACTGATTTTCTCTAACTGACAACTTTCTTTTAAATATTATATATCAAAATAATTGGCCCAGCCATCATGATGCAGATGGCCCGGCACTGCTGTGTGGCGCTAGAGCTGAATAGAGGTCTTGGGCTCAGATTCCAGGTTGACCTTAATACACTCGGTGTCCTCCATGTCCCTGTGATCCCGGCTAGGTAGGCAGCTGGGGAGGCAGCATGGTATGGCAAGACATTGCCAAGTGTACCTCTCTTTCTCTTTCATGAAATAAATAAATACTTTAAAAAAATCCATTTTTTGCTTTTTGTGGACTTGAAATTTGACTTCCATATTGATCATTTTATTGAGATATATTGATCACAACCCCTTTTCTTAAATAATTTAAGTTAAAGTAAGATATCTTACACAATTTTAACAGTTATAAATCTTGAGGATAATGTTCACCAAGTAATGTTTCTGATAACAATTATTTCATATGGAACTAACGTGGCAAGTTAGTAATTGATACAGATAAATGTAATTCCAGAGGACTACATATCCCTGTGGCTAATCAGCGTTCCCACACTGCCAATAGGCAAATAGAAACAGAAGCCAAATTATAACTAGAAGGTTGCTTGGCCATTTGACAAGCAGAGCAAGTGGAGTTTGTCAAATAACCCAAATAGCTTGTGTCAACTATGTCATCTCTCTCCATGACAAGAATATATCACTTCTCTCAGGACAGCCACTTGAATATACATTTAGTAAAAACACCTCTTCTCTGTATCATTTAAGATAAACTACTTGTGTTTGGTCCTCTGCTTCTAAAAAAATCTTTCCCTTTTAATTTTCTAAAATTTAAAAATAATGTTTTCTTTCATTTTTATAAAAATGGCATGTCTTCATTAGGAAATTATTCTTAAAGCAGATAAACCTTACATTCCTATTTAATCAGGTAGCTATTTTTAATGTCTTTGTGCCAATTCTTCAAAAATCTTTCCTATATGTCACAAATATCTTTGCTTGTCAATAAATACAAACTCATGCCATCATTTGAATGACTACAGTGTTCTATCATGTGACATCATTATATTAAGAGATTTTAGTTACAGTCTTACTGATCACTAATTAATTATAATTTTTCTCTCTTCCAAGGACAGATAAAATGAACATTACTGGGGTTATTATATCCTTAGTCATTTTATTAAAATAAATTTCTTGACAAAATGACATACACAGGTTCAGGTTATATATAGTACATATGCTCTCTAGAAAAACTGGAACTATTTCTACTTTCTCTTGTTGACATTATATGAGAGATATTTTATTTGTTTATTTATTTGATTAAAAATGAGGTTAAAGTTTTATATTTGTATAGGTTATTTGTCTTTTGAAGCATACCTATCAATGTTATTTTTATGTGTGAACTGCCTTTTTACATTATTTGTTCATTTTAACTGTTGTATCAATTATACATTAGCATCATATGAACATTTTGTATATTGACTATATATTTGTTTGTAGCAAATATCCCAGTTTTTTTACTTGCATTTTGAGTTTTCATGCTAGAATTCAAATACATAATGTCATGTTAAAAAATATCACTTTCTTCAATAAATATCATAAAAACACACAGATATATTCTTTGGCTTCCTTCTTTCTGTGGTAATTTTCCTACACACATTTTAGGAAGTCATTTCTGCTCGCAGATTGCTTAATATGCTCAATATGCACATTAATCCTCTTGGCAAGAATAGCCAGCCCTTAACTTGTTTATTGTTTACAGCAATGCCAACAGCATGCTGGGTAATACTGTAGACTCTCCCAGTTTTGCCATGGTAACATCTGTGGAGCATTCCTTTTTGAACAGTCGCCATTCCCTTGATATCTACCATATCACCTTCCTTGTAGATTCACATATATGTTGCCAAAGGAGCCACTCCATGTTTTCTAAAAGGCCTAGAGAATATATGTCCAGTGCCTCTCCTCTTTCC